TTTACCAAATCTTCATGCAACTGCCTAGCCTTTTCACAAATAATCGAAGTCATAAGAGTATCTCCTGCTAATTGTTTTCTCATTTATCCACACCAATAATAACTTCTCAACCTCTTCAGTACTGGTGATCTCATTTTTGTCAGCATAGTTACTCCCTTTGCAACAACAGCGTCCTTTATTTCCTTTTCTTGGCACTATGGAACATAAGGTTGTGTAGGGTTTCTTATACATCCTGGACAGTTCGGCCACACTTGTACCACTTTCATTTTGTTCAATGATGGTTTTCTTAAATTCAGTCGTATTTCTCACCTTCTTTACCACAGGCTTGACACTAGGAGCTTTCTTTGGAGCCATGGTAGCTTATTTAGTACTTGCAAGCACTAAAATAAATGGAATATTATGAAATATTTCGCTGGAGCACATGAGGGGACCTTTGCTCACTGATAAACAATGCCAGACTGGCTGCCGCCCCGGCTCAAGCCGTGGGTACGCGTCCCGGACGAACTACGACTCACGAGTCAACCTATGAAAAGCGAGTCCATGTTTATACGAAAATACCCCTATGATTGGCGAAATTTACGATTGCCGGGAACTACGAAAAGCGGGGGACCACCGTACAGTGGTCAGAATTTAGCAATTTTGCCAATATCACACAAATTTCAAAAGATGCCAATTTCCAAATAGGGTCCAGAATAAACAAGAAAGACATTCCTGGCACTAAAATAACATTTCCACTGTTCGTTAGTCACATCCCTAGGCCCCTCTTATATTTTTTTTGGCTTTCCACTTTCAGTTTTTATTCTTACAAAAAATAGAAGATTTACTGTTATGCAGACTGCTGCAGTAGTGTAGAAATGGTATAAATAATATCAGCGCACTTGTAAAAGAATATTAGACTCACCAGTTGACCTGTATTGGACGCTTGGCATGATTTGTTTACTTTTGAAGTTTGGTAAAAATCTAACATTTCTGCTACTTTGAGCTCAATTTCAAGGTACTTTTCATTGTAAAACCAGTCAAAATCATCTCAATTTCTGTAATATGTCTTCCATTCTATAAAATGAGACCAAGAAAACTAGAATACAACAATAAATACCATACGAAAGTACAGTGCAAAGTCGCTGTTTTATTCCAAAAACATGGTCAAAGTTTTTTTTCTCATTATGCACTGTGTGCTGCAGGATTTTTTTTATACTGCGCACACTGACCACATAGACCCATTCTTTCATATGTATGCCTACCAGCTTTCTCCCACTAGATTTGAGGGCGCTAGAATTTAGGCGTACTAGTACGTCAAAAACCCTGGGTCATTAGGCATACTAGTACGGCAAAAACCCTCAGAGGGTTAAACCTTTTCTTGCCACTTTCAGCAACACTTGTATGCCTACTGGGTGCCATGATTACTTGACAGATTTAAGACATGGCAATTAAAAGATCTAAACTCAATTCGCAAACAAAAATAAACACAGCTAGCTCCTATCAGAGGATGGTTCTACACACGTATGAACTGAAGACTAGGACAAGGGTGGTGGGATTGGTGGAAGGTGGGGGATGGATGGCGGTAGGTCTCCCCTGTTGACTCAATGGTCTAACCCACAGCCAGAAGTATCCCACAGGTGATGCTTCAAATTTTTTCCCCTCTCGCAAACTGAACTGTGTTAAGTTAATTTTATGAAGTGTTGTATAAAATAGTGCCGTAGTTCTTCAGTAGTGCTATAACCAAAACATGCCAAATAAATCCATGTTAAATAATGGTCTACTGTATACTAGAAATGTTATAGATGGTGCAAAGGTGACATTAAAGCAATATCAAAGATGGTTGACACAAACCCACTACCATTATAGTATGCTCCTTGCTTAGCGACGAATTCATTTGCCGACATTATCTTGGGAATGGAACTCCATCGTTATGTGAGGAGAGGGTGTATATACAAAATATATTTTATCCAACACAACTTTAATTATATATTTACATACAAGAGAAAATAGAATGAGATGTATAGTGTTATATATAGTATTGCAACATGCTCAACACCAGAGTATGTGAGCTACTGTCAGTGGTGGACTTACATTTTTGGGGCCCTGAAGCTTGAACCGTTTTGGAATCACCTTTGCAATCAGTAACGGCTAGCTTACATGATACTTTAATAACCTTTTAATTTTTATTTTAACTGTTATTTTGTATTGAATTACACTATATTATTATTATTTATTATTATTATTATTATTATTATTATTATTATTATTATTATTATTATTATTATTATTATTTATTATTATTTATTATTATTATTTAAAATTCCTTTCTCATATGGTAGACTTAAAATTTTTAAGCAATGTGGACTAAAGTCACTTCTGGAGCCCTTCCAGGAGTAGGGGCCCTGAAACTTAGCTTCATTAGTTTCATAGTAGATCTGTGATGGTGTATAGATCTGGGAGTAGAATGAAGAAGGGAAAGGGGGGTTGTTCCAGGAATGGTTGGAGGGGGGGGGGGGTTACAAGAGGCTTGAGTTTTAGGGGCTTGAGGATCCAGCAGGTTTTTGTGAACATAGGAGGCAAGTGGGTTATAATGGATGTACTGTTGGAGTGTGAGCAGAGTAACTTTTATGAAGGGTTCTCTTCCCTGAATCGGGGAAACCAGTTGGCTGGACTTGAGTCTTGGAGGGAAAGGCAATGCCTGCACCCTGAAGGAGGAGTGGGATGTTATAGTCAAAGGGGTAAGCTGATTTTGATGTTAACACACATGTGAAACAGACATTTGAGGGAATATTGATTTTTTTTTGATGGAGGCAGTTACTCTGCTTTGGCGGGAGATGGCTGTTGAGTTAAAAAAATTATTTGAGTATAATTGGGTAATTAAACTTTGATTATTATTGAAAGAGTTAGTGGTAAAACAAAGTAGGATTGCATGGAAACAAAGATGATTTAGACCAAATGTTTGCACTGAAGCATGCAAGTGAACATTACCTAGATAGGGGTTAGAAGCTGTTTGTTGCATAATTCTGGATCTAGAAATGGCATATGGTAGGTACAGTGGAAGTTTACTGTAAGCATTTAAAAGTTTTTGTGAGGAGAGTGAGGCTGAGATTAGGGTGTACAGTAGAGAAGGGGACTGTTTTCTAGTAAAAAGTAGGTCTTAGACAGGGGTGTAATGTCACAATGATTCTTAGTGTTTTTTATAGATGGAGGGAGACAGCTGTGCTGTATATGCTGTGTTGGTCTCGTCTAACACCAGTGCAACACCATAACACCATAAAATAATGAGCAGGTAGAGGCAAAATAGTTAGGAGAGAGATATTAGGTAGTTGATAAAAACTGCTTTTCTAAAAAATATAGCAAAAAAGTTAATGGTAGATTTGTAATTATAGTTAGCAAATGCTAAAATTAAGAAGCTGGTGCTTTGTTGCATTATGCCGGCCATATAAGATTCATCTCATTAGCTGTATTTCTATACACTGTATTGGTATGAGATTAATTTGTAAAAATTTGCATTTGTAGGGCCGTGTACTAGTGTTTATTAACACAGGTAGTGTTTACCTATTTGGATGGATCCTTTAAGACTGGCATGGTATGGAGAGCACTGGCCTGCTTATTTTATAACTGGCTTTCCATGGTTTAACATGTCCATTTCATGATAATTACTGACATTAAGATAAAAAATAATTCTTTATTTTTTGTGTGTGTTTGTTTTTTGGTATATGATCATTTGGTGTTTGATGGGCTCTATAGTGGATTTTTTCATATTTGTGGATCTGCACAAATGTAAATCCCATGGATATGAAGATTTACTATAATGTGTTTTTAACCCTTTGAGGGTTTTGGTCGTACTAGTACGTTTTACGCGTAGGGGTTTTTGACGTACTAGTACTCATAAATTCTAGCGGCCTCAAATCTAGTGGGAGAAAGCTGGTAGGCCTTCATATGAAAGAATGGGTCTATGTGGTCAGTGTGCACAGTCTAAAAAAAATCCTGCAGCACACAGTGCATAATGAGAAAAAAAAAACTTTGACCATTTTTTTTTAATAAATCAGCGACTTTGCAGTGTATTTTCGTTATGGTATTTATTGTTGTATTCTAGTTTTCTTGGTCTCATTTTATAGAAATGGAAGACATATTACAGAAAATGAGATGATTTGATGGTTTTACAATGAAGGTGCCTTGAAATTGAGCTCAAGTAGCAGAAATGTTCGATTTTTACCAAACTTCAAAAGTAAACAAATGTGCCAAGCGTGCAATACACGTCAACTGGTGAGTCTAATATTCTTTTACAAGTGCACCAATAATATTTATACCATTTTTTTACACTAATGCAGTAGTCTGCATAACAGTAAATCTTATATTTTTTTGTGAGAATAAAAATTCAAAGTGGAAAGCAAAAGAATATAAGAGGGGCCTTGAGACGTGACTAATGACTAGAGGAAATATCATTTTAGTGCAGGAATGTCTTTCTTGTTTATTCTGGACCTATTCGGAAAATGGCATCTTTGAAATTTGTGTGAAATTGGCAAAATTGCTAAATTCTGACCACTGTACTGGATAGTTGAATTTCATAAATGGGTGGTTTCTTGCACCCATTCGATAGAAAAAATGAGAGTTCTAGCGAAATATTCATGTTTTTTGTCGGCTAGTACAGTGAAATGGCCGAAAAATGGGGCTCAAAGTGGGCAAAATCGCCGATGCGTAAACATCGCCGAGACCGCTAACTTTGCGAGAGCATAATTCCGTAAGTTTTCTATCAAATTTCAAACTTTTGGTGTCTTTATGATCGGGAAAAGATTCTCTATCTTTTCATAAGAGAAAATATTTTTTTTTTTTTTTAAATTTGGCCGACCCTGAGAACGAGTTTCGGAGAGGGCCTGTCGACCCTCAAAGGGTTAAATGGAAAATTATAAGAAAATATACAAAGAAATAGGTGTTTTGGTTGTACGTACAGTGTAGTAAAAAAAAATTTATTTCTAATTGAAGAATATTTTTTAGTTATGCATGTTAATATTTTTCAGATATTACAAGCTATGGGGAAGTCTTACCACCCTGGATGCTTCCGATGCTGCATATGTAACGAGTGCTTGGACGGTGTACCATTCACCGTTGATGTTGACAACAAGATCTACTGTGTCCATGATTACCATAGGTAAGGCATAGAATAGTTTTCTTTACTACATGGATCAACATTTAACTGTTTATCTTTGACTATGAAGACAGATATCACATGTTTTGGTCTCAGAGCAGTGACTGTTTGGTCATTGAGCTTACTAAGATGTATTCCTTCTGCTCATTCACCGAGATATAACTTTATTATGTTTATGATAGGTGGTGTGGGGTTAACTTGGAGTTTCCTCTTGTGGCATTCTAACAGTTTTAGATTGAGCTTTGACTTGATATCTCTTTACTCAGAGCTATTTCTTCTGCACTGAACTAACCTTGGGGATAAGCACCTTATGTTTGCAGCCTTTGCATCTGCCACTCATGCAACTAATGCACTTCATACACACAATGAATGTTATTTTCTTAAGGATTTAATTCATGTCCCGAAATTTTTACAAGTACATACTGTATCTCAAGGTGTAATAAGCTTTTTGGATTGTATGTGATTTTTCAGCTGATTGGTACTTTAATGTACAGTATTTATATTTACATTGTTTTGTGATGTGATATATGGACATTACTGTATGTATATATAAAGTTTATTATACATATATAATATTTGTTATATATCATGTATATGTTGCATACAGTATAATGTTATATATGATACATAATGAATAACTAAAGTGTAATGAACACTTGTCAGTGCTCAGTAATAACCCACATTGAGATGGAAACTTGGGAGATTAATTGATCTGTATATTTCAACCCCTTTCTGGGATCCTCTTCATCAGATCTGCTGAAGAGGCTCCCAGAAGGGGGTTGAAATATGCAGATCATTTCATCTCCTGAGTTTGTGTTCATGTGGGTTGTTATTGAGCATGATATATAATGTGACATGTACAGTATATATACAATATAAATGTTTTGTTATACATATATTGTATATATAACATATAATGTACATATAATGTTACATATAACCTGATAAACTGACTCTTAAAGACCGGGTGCTCATCTTAATGTTGGTTGGTAGGCAGCAATGAAAAATATACCTCAATTTCTCTGACACACAGAAGGCTAGTATTACTCTTTGTGTTTATGAAAGAAATCCATTTAAATTTAAAGAAGAAATAGGAATTTTTTCTTTTAATAGCTTTAAACTTATTTTTTAACTTTTATTGTGACTATCATAAAGCAGGTCATTGAGCATCATAATACAGTGAACCCTTTAATTATTGGACTATGGGGGGAGGGGGTCTACGATAGTGCCAATTGTTTGAAATTTTCAAATTACGAAACTAAGTTTTCACGATCGTTCAGTTGTCTTATAAGCCAGTGGACTTTGTCTTGGTGGTTCAAAGAGACCCGGGCATTTAAGTATACAGGTATTGTAACTGTGCAGTACAGTGCAGTACTGTAATGTATAGTAATTTTATAGTGTATGTAATTTACAATAATTTTACTTACAATTTTGTGGTGGAGAGATGAAGTGTAAACTGCTGTGGTCGATACTAGTGACTTGGAATAACTTTTATTTTGATTCAGAGCAGCTGTGAAATGCTACCAGTGAAACTAATATAGATAGCTGTTCATGTGCTTCAGTAACCTATTGAGCAGCAGAGTGTAGATCAACACACGAACGTTAACTCCAATCTTCAAGCTTTTCATCATGGGCTGTTTTCATGTACTTTCTAGGACCAGCTGTTGAACCATCTACACTAAACTTACGAGCAGTCTTCTTTTATGGATATCAGATACTGTTTCTTACCACCATATTCCTCACCATACTCAACCCTCTTTGTTAGTTCAAGTTTCTTCTTAACACCGAGAACCACATGTTTCCTCTTGCCACCACCATTTGTTTTAGCAGTCATGACCTGACCTGACTAGGTTAAGGCGTTGGCTTAAGCTGGTAGAACTGGACCTGCCTCGCAATGGCCAGTTTTCCTGCTGCAATGTTCCTTCTTTCTTATGTTCTTATGTAACAAAATCTAGGGAAAATTGTTTACTGAATGATGAGTATATATGTGAGTGAATGCAAACAAACAGGTGGCAGAGGCCTGTGACTCAGGGAGCAGTGAAAACAGACAGGCAATGGAGGCCTATGGCTCAGGAAACAATGAAAACAGGCAGTGGAGGCCTATGACTGAGGGAACAATGAAAACAAACAGGCAGTGGAGGCCTATGACTCAGGGAACAATAAAAACCAACAGGCAGTGGAGGCCTATGACTCAGGGAACAATAAAAAAAACAGGCAGTGGAGGCCTATGACTCAGGGAACAATGAAAACAAACAGGCAGTGGAGGCCTATGACTCAGGGAACAATAAAAACAAACAGGCAGTGGAGGCCTATGACTCAGGGAACAATAAAAACAAACAGGCAGTGGAGGCCTATGACTCAGGGAACAATAAAAACAAACAGGCAGTGGAGGCCTATGACTCGGGGAACAATAAAAACAAACAGGCAGTGGAGGCCTATGACTTGGGGAACTATGAAAACAGGCAGTAGAGGCCAATGACTCAAGGAACAATGAAAATAAACAGGCAATGGAGACCTATGACTCAGGGAACAATGAAAACAAACAGGTAGTGGAGGCCTATGACTTATGGAACAGTGAAAACAAATAGGCAGTGGAGGCCTATGACTCAAGGAACAGTGAAAGCAGACAGGTCCTGGACGTGGCTGCTCTGCTTGTACCGGAAAAACACCAGAGTCATTGGACTTGGTGCAGAGTCCCAGAAGACAACTATGTATACACTATTGTTATGGCAAAATCTGGAATTACTTTTTTTTCCATTTTGTCTGATACTTCCAACACTTGTCCAGCCAATTTTTTTCTGCTGAATTTGTTAAAATCCATGAAAGAGAGGTTCATTAATGGGAGGTTTTACTATATTATTTTGGTATTTCAATAGACAGCATTTTATACTCTTTATGGCACAAACAAATTGTAAGTTTTCAAGCCAAATCAAATGGTATGTTTTTTCATAGAGGTAGCCTTCACTCACCTCAGGAAGTTACTGTTCACACATACTCATGTTCACACATACTCATGCGCACACACGTGCACGCATGCGTGCATATGCGCGAGCGAGCAAGAGTGCTGTAGTTGTAGAACAATGCAAAATATTAAAACTAGTGAAGAATAAAGTCACAATGCTGTGACTGGAACAATACACAAATAACCTGCACACAGGAGACTGAAATTTATGATGGCATTTCAGTCCAACTTGGACTATTAACTAAAGGTGCTCCTCGCTTTACAAAGGTTTGAATTGCAATATTTTGACTTTACGATGGTGCGATAGCTGTGCACATTCTTGGCAGTGGCAAGCCACTCTGTCTGTAATGATTGCAAGTGTAAACATCTCATTTCTTTACTTTTCAATACTGGTATTTAGTTACAGTAATTCTTTGTCTTTTTACTGTGCTAAAATGTAAGCACGCTGGAGGCATTGAGATGGGTGACACAAACTACACTTGTCCATGAGAGGGACTCCCACCAGTGTTTATATACCCTCTTCTTATTTTCCTTTGCATAATAAAGGTTTAAAGAAAGGGAACCTGGATGTAATATGTATACAGTACGTACTTCATATATATATTTGTGCATCAGTTTAGTTGGTACACTATTATATTGTGTAATAAAGAAACCAGGACATGTGTAAGAGAGTGAGTGTGATGGTGGTGTTAAGGGCTGTCAGTGCTCAAGCATCTGACCCACCTTCTCCTACACTAATTTTATTGTTGAAAATGCAAGGGAAAAAATAATTTTATTATTTTCCTTTATTGTAATAATTTTATTAATGTCCTAAATAGTTTATATTTGCAAAAGCATTCTGGTAGTTAATTTCACAGCAGTGAGACAGGCACAATGACCCTGAGGCTATCACAACCCTTAACCAAACAATAAACACAACAATAACATATTCAGAACCTTGTGAAGCTTTTCTCATGATTTTATAATTTTTTTCAAGTTGCTGATGTTTTGTAAGTAATATCTGATGGCAGGTGATAGCCTGTCATATGTTTACACAGGTAATGTATAGAATTGCATCAACCTTCCCCACACATTTCCAGATCAATGAGTAATGACAGCTGCAGTGAATGTTCTGGGGCCTAGAGCATTTAAAGCTTTTCCATCAGCTGTATAAAGTTTTGCAGGGTAAAAGAGAGCAAAGACATTAATCAGCTGTCAACTCTATTTATTTATTTATTTATCATATCGTATTAATATTTGACTTGCGATGGGCTCACCGGAATGTAACTGTTTTGTAAACTGAGGAGCACCTGTAGTCAGGGTCCAGGTCGGAGCAAAATGTCATCATAAGTTTCATTTTCCTATGTGTGGGTTATTTGTGTATTGAAATGTTGCCATAAGGTTCTTTCCAATAAAAGTAGACTTTTGGTGAAATGTATTGAAAACAGTGCTGAGATAAATGATCAGTTCTGATGAAATTTCAAGGTTCCCAGCTTATTTCTATAACCATAGCAATGTACTGGTAACAGTTGAAAGCCATAGAAAACTGGAAGGACACCTTCTGAAAACCTACTTGATTGTGAATCTGGTAACTTTGGCAGCTCTCTGCCTCACACAACATATCAACAATTGAGAACAAACCAATATGCCTTTCATAATTCAGGACTAATGTAATGATAAAAACTCTGAAGATGGAAAAAAAAGTAGAACAGAGCAGTTAGCTTGTACTGCCAGTGGAAGCACTGCTAATATTAACTTTATTTGGGATTTCTACTGACAGTAATAAAATTTTCTTCAGTGGTTGTGAGTGCACAAAGATACTGTAGGTGTGCATAAATGGTGCACAAGATTCAACCTAGGATCATCCAGTATAGTCAGTAACTATGATTTATCCCATGTGAGGAGAATAAATTAGTTGTCTCTTGTTTTACTGATATCTGTTTTTCTTAAATACTGCAGTGCCAATTTCTCTCTCAAATTTTCTCTGCCTAAACATAACCCCTTTAAAAATATTGTTTTCCTGTTATTATCCATGAGTTCTTGTATTTTACTCTGTGTATCT